TGACTCAGTGATAGAATGCTTGCTTTTAATCAGGTATGGCACCCTTAGTGTCACACACATGGAAATCTTTAAGACACAAGGTTCAGGGCCAGAGGAAATTATTAACAAAACAAATAGGAAAAAGTGGAGGCTCAACTTTCCTATTGTTCAGGCCGGAAATTCCAGGGAACTTGCCAAACAGGATGCCTTCTTCTGCCAGCTGCCCCAGGACCACCCTTTAAGTTGTGTTCGGCTTTGTGCAGCCATCAAAATGGGTTACCAGAGAATTCATATCTAAAGCTGAGCTTAACTTCTCATATTACCACACTCCCTAAAAGATGATCCGATTTGCCTTCAGTGGCAACTTCTGAGGGCCATGCCAGGTATTGAATTTTTATAGATCTACAACACAGCCATTATTCATTGGTGGTCTGGAACATAGGGAAGATGTTTTTCAAGTTGACACCTTCAGTATTTGAAACCAAAGAAAATCTTACTCAAATCTTCCTTCAAGTAGTGTCTATTTCAACTGGGTGACTTTCATCTGAAAAACTAAACATGCAGTCTGTCAATGAAAAACAAAAATGGTATCGTGGCATGATATAATAGTTACAAATGTTATATGGAGTTGGATGCTCTACTAGTTAAGATGTTGGACTAAGAACAGAGACACCCAGGTTTTAATTCCTCCCATATTTTAGTCTTTAGAGTTCACTGGCTAACTTTGGGCCAGTTCATAGTCTTCCAGTGCAATCTACCTCACAGAATTGTTGGAGCATTCTCTAGAGCAGGGGTAGGCAACCTTGGCTCTTTTATGACTCGTGGGCTTCAACTCCCAGAATTCCTGAGCCAGCCATGCTGAGGGAAAAGGGAGAGGTTTCCAAGCTGAGCCATGCTGGCTCAGGAATTCTGGGAGTTGAAGTCCACGAGTCATAAAAGAGCCAAGGTTGCCTACCCCTGCTCTAGACCATCTTAAGCTCCTAAATGAAAGGCAGGTTAGAAAACAAATCCATAAATAAATAATGAATTCTGTAACTGCATAATATTTTGAATTTCTGAGGCTTACCACTGTTTATTTAACATATGGTATGACTGTGACCTCCCACCTCAAGGTTTAAATGGCAGGAAAGAGTGATGAGATGTATGTAGAGAAAGTAGTGTGGGAAAAAAGAGAGAACATTTTTGAGAGAAGGTAGGAACAATAAACAAATCATGAAAACAACCTAGTCTCTGCCCTTTCCAGATGGAAGTAAAAAAAAAAAAAGAAAGGAGTATTGAACTCTGAGGGATGCAGCGTTAATGCTGGGGTTTGTACTTCGCGGTTCGCTTTTCTTCAAATGGAGAAGAAGATTCCAGAGGTACATGCTTTTTCTCTTGAAATTCCCAGCCAAGGTAAAGATGTGTTAGGGAAAACAATGCAACAAAGAGTTGCCTTGCAAAATAATGAACCAAACATTATTATTATTACTGTCTTTTATTCATTAAACATGAACCTCAGTCAACTGAACATTCAAATTGGCTGGCGCTGATGGTTGACACGGGTTGCTACCAGCAACCTAGGTGTCAACCAGGTACCTCCTTGAAATATAAGATGTTCTGAGTAGCGCAGTTTTTTTGTAACATTGCTGGAGTTATTGCAGGAAGCTGCAGATTCTTGATGTATTTTGCAAGATTTTTGGACATAGTTCCCAGTGCTCTGATGACAATGGGTACCACTGTTACACATTTCATCCATAATCGCGCAGTTTCGATGGCCAGGTCGCGATATTTCGTATTTTTTTCCTCCTCCTCCTCCTCCTCCTCTTCTTCTTCTTCCTCTTCCTATTCTTCTTCTTTTTCTTCTTGTTATTGATAACAATAACACTATGGTTGCAGTGTCTCATGGTCATGAGATCACTTCCATGACTTTCTGACAAGCAAAGTCAAGGGGGAAGCAGGATTCACTTAGCAACTGTGAAAAGAAAGGTCGTAAAATGGGGCAAACATCACTTAACAAAGGTCTCACTAAGCAACAGAAATGTTGGGCTCAGTTAACAGTCATGCATCAAGGACAATTTGTATATGTGCATGCAGAGATCCCATATCTCATATTATGTATATTTCACATTCAAATTGGTTCTCTGCTGCATTTCAAGCAAAACCTTTCCGGGCAGGCTGCAACAAATTTGAAAACAAAATTAAATGCATTAGAAAGAAAGAAAGAAACTGTCAAAAGCATCTCACAGCCAGCCTATTGTGATGCTTCCATATCAGGGGTGGGCAACTAGGGCCCCTTTACAATCTGTGGACTTCAACTTCCAGAATTCCTGAGCCAGCCCTAGTTGCCCACCTCTGTTCTATACGAAAGTGATTTAAATAATTAGAAGCATTTACAAATCACAATAGTATAAAGTTGGGCTGATAGAAACTTGGGCACTGATGGAAAAATGGTGGACCTGAGAAAAATAAAGTCCCTGCACAATTTATCACGGCCTCCTTGAGAACTACTTTCCAATGTCATTTTGACTTTATCATTGTCAAGTCAGGAAGTCAATTCAGAAAACAGCACAAGGAGAAATGTAAAAGAAATTCTTGAGCATTTGGAAGAAAAGGCAGGACAACACAGAATGCCACTTCTATTTGTTGCACAGGGAAGAAAACCTTAAGAAAAATGAAATATTTTTGTGCAGATGTTAGCAGCAGTTGTTTGGGAAACGTGGCTGCTACAAGGCCCATTCAGCTTAAAGTTTCCACGAAAAGAAGAATCTGAAGTGGATGGTGAGGTCAAGCTATCAAAAGCTCTGCAGCTGTTTGGTGGCCCTCTTAGCACAAGGCATGCTTGCCAGGGCTAATTGCTCATTAGAAAAGCTTTTTAATGAGAGTTGGAAGAATTGATGGGTGTTCCTTTTCTTTTATATTTTTTTTTTCCTGGCTCCTTTCGGTTGGCAAGTTTTCTGCTTGCTTTGAGAGGAGGTCAAAAGAGGGCTGTTTTTTTTTGTGATCTTCCCAACTGTTTACTCTGACAGCAAGCTGCCTAGTGCTAGTCAAAAACCCTGACTTTAGGGGGTACTTGAACTAGACTCCCATACAATGGGAAGAGATGGACCAAGTCTCTTGACAAATGGTGCTGAATAGTGGGGGTTTGCAGGCCGTTATGTGGGAGGTCCTAATCCAGAGGCTGCAAACTTTGGCTTGTCCATGCTGAAAATGAGCATCACAAAAGGGAGATGCATAGAGAGCATTACCCTAGGAGCAGCTACATCTTTGGGAGGGGAATAGACAAATATATGGATAAAAGATATACCTTACAATTGATTTGATTCTGCGATTCCTTGTTCTGTTTGAGAACAAAAACTGACTTTGGTTCCTGTTTTGAGAAAATGTATTCTTGTTAATATTTCAGTGGGCTTCCAAGCTGTTACTGGACTGGCCAACCAGCTTTTGAAAACACACACTTATGTTGCCTAGAACTACTGATTATCCCCTGTGAACTCTTGCTTATGTCAATTAGATCAGGATGAAAAAAATGCCTTATTATTTGTGCAAAACTAACTATGCAGATCTCATCTGAATGAATCAAACACGGAGCTGTTTTTCCTGACAAATGACTTTTCTCCGCATGTTCTAGACAGAAATATTGAATGTGGATATCAAAAAGGTTTTTATTTTTCTTTAAGATCATGCATATGTGCATATAAGAAAGTGTGTGTGTGTGTATATATACATTTGTGTCTACGCACACAACCCTTTCATAAGCAGGTAGGTTTCAGATTTCTTTCCCTTCTTCCAATTCTGTTCCTTTGGCGTTGGTTTGTTTATCTTTTCAGTTGTGTACTTTTTAGTTTACATCTGTTTGTTTTGCAATGTTTATTATTCCATTTATTAGATTACGCCTTTGTTACTTCCATTTTGCCTGGCTTTCCGAGCTTATGTCATCCTGGTAAGAATAGCAGTGATGAAAATCTAACCGCATCTCTCAGCCACACCACAGACATTCCCAGCCAGGAATGGCGCAGAGTAAAATAATGGATTCAGATGAAGGGAGAGATGAGATATATGTATAAAAAATTCCATTAACCAGCTGGTACAGTTTAGATAAGGCCTTTCTTCTCGTTTTCCTTCAGCCACGGAAAAAGCATTGACACCTGGCCTCGGTTCCCCATTTGTAAATGTTACTATTACCCAGTGGAGCTGATGTAAAAGCAAACCCTATAATGTCTGAGAAGCATTATGCAAATTGTGCTTTCAAAGAACTGACAGTTTGAGTTAGGCCTTGCTATCTTTCCGTTAAAACCTGACTAAGGTAGAAATGAGCCACATTTAACCTTACCATTAACATGTGGAAGGGGGAGGGAGCAATTGGGCCATTATGCAAAAGGCAGAGGACCATGTCAAATACGTAATAATAATTATAAAATACAAAGACCTGCAGATAGACATAGAACGACTATGGCAAAAGAAAGCAAAGGGAGTAACAATAGTAATAGGCACTTTAGGTGCAATCCTAAAACATCTGGAGCACCGCTTGAACACCATCATCATTGAGACGATCACCACCAGTCAGTTGTAAAAAGTAGCTTTACTCGGAACAGCTTATATCCTGCAACGATGCCTCTTAATATCTTCACACATCCACATCTGCCTATCCCAGGTTCTTGGGAAGCACTCAATAGGTGGATAAAACTGCAAATCCCATCTGAACATCTGGCTGACTGTATGACAAAGCAATAATAATAATTACATACTGATCTCCCCCTCTTTCTGGGAGAAGTGTACAACTTAGGCTATTCTAAACTATGAGCATGACCTGTTTTGGAATTTGACCGGAAGCTGCAAGGCTGATTTGGGGGAAGTTGTACTTAAAAAGGTTTTCTGCGCTACAAAAAGGAGGATCTGGAGTTCTGTATGAATGTTTAGCCAGTTTATTTATTCCAGAATTACCATGATGAATCCATCAATGAGGACCACACCTCTCTCCTGCTTCTTTAAGCCTGCATGCATGGACAACACAAACTACATAACACCTTTCTCTCTTTCTCCAGGATTTTGAGCAATAACAAAATAACAACCCTGAAGAACAGCACTTTTTGGGGACTCCGTGTTCTTGAAAAGCTGTAAGTACGAATTCTTGCTACTTTGTTTTTTTAAACTTCTGCACTATCAGTGATGATCTCAGGAATTAGTGACTAGACTGTAGTGAAAGCGAACTTGGAGTGGGTGTGGACACATGTATGCACACACCTGTGCCTATGTATCTATGTGTGGAAGTCTCGTATGGCCATAGGAACTGGAAGACAAAGTGTTTAGAAGGGTTTAGAGTTTCGGATTAAAGGAAAAACAAAATACAATTGAACTATAACTGCAGATGTTCATTGTCTGCTATGATTCTAGTACTTGTTTATTGGTGGATCTGCTGGTCTTTATTTGTGTTTGTTGTGCCTTATTGACCACTGCATGTAGGTCCTGTTGTGTCTTTCTACTTTGTCCACAGTTAAGAACACTAGAATCAGGAGAAGGGTTTTCTGCCTCTTGTTTTATTGAACTTTTTAGAAAAACTAACTGTAGCATAATTCTTGGGCGAGAATTATATACAGGTAGCCCAGAATAATAGTATTGAATCACAGGCATGTTTAATTAATCAGTAAAAAAATAATTATAAGTTGCATTAGAAGAAATACAGTTTTAGATCCCGGGAAGTTATCGTTCCACTGTATTCTGCACTGGTCAGATGTCTTTTTGAGTATCTTGGACACAGCGTTGTAAGAAAGATGGGAGCAGATATACAGAGAAAAACAGTGAAGATGATCAGAAGATGGATAATTTAACCCCAGCAGACAGAGATTTCAAGCATCTTTGGTATTTATGGATCTACCAGCAGATCCTAAATAAGATACTCCTAGACCACAAATGATCTTTCAAAAAGCTACTTTTCCCAGCTGTCCTAAATTAAATCCCTTATCTAAATTACTTCTCCTGGAAGCTATTCTCAGCTTTCGTGGATCATCCTTTCATTCAAAGGATTTAGCTGCACCTTTAATGTTACAGAGGAGATTTGCCACAGTTGACTCTAGGAAATTTGGGGGGAAAACCATGCCAGATTGTATTTTTTTTTAAAAAAAAAAAAACAGAGCGTGGACCTTTATTGTTAGAAACTAAACTTCTGAAGGAAAGGCAGATATAAGTCATGGGTTTTTTTTTCTTTTTTTGAAAAGGGGACCTTTCCCTATTCATTCTCTAAGGTTTATATAATGATCATTTTTAAAAGGGCCTTACAAATTGTGTGAGATATTGCCTAATATTCATGTTAAATATAGGTGCAAAGATTCTGATAGCAACTTTGACCTAAAGATTGAAGAACGCTGCTATCTATAATGTACATAATTTATACATGCACACTCTTAAAATGTTTCTATTTCCTTGTATAGTTTTCTCAAAATCTTGATTTTTTAAAAAAAATAGGCTTATGTTTATGCGTCATACCTTTTTATGACCCTTTAATCCCTTTATTTGGGGTGGAGTCGGGGCAACTGAATGGAGCTGAGCATTTACTGGCCAGATGCCCTTCCTGACACCCATTCCAAGTTCACAGCAGATGTTTTCTCCTTGTGTCCTGATAGAGAAACATCTGCTGCTGCCTAGGACTGAACTCTCAAGCTTTCCAAGTGGGAAGCAAGCATCTTCACCTCTAGACCACTACGCCACTCAATTTTTAAATATATACATGCAATTTTTGATGGCCCACGACATCAGTTAGAATCATCTAATGTTGTTCATTCTATGTGCTCACCGATGGAGAAAGGCTATCTTCTGCAATTCTATAGTTACAGCTGCAGCTGCAGCTTACTGCTTCTCTCCTTTTCCTACAGCAGTTCTCTTTAGGGTCCTCCCTCCTCCCCTATACGGAAAAAAAAAAGGAGAAGAGAAGGAAGTTCAGTTCCAGATCATATCAACTTCTGTTTTCCTCTTGAGAGGCCCAGGAACCCTCCAAATGAACTAGACAAAGAGTTTTAAAAGGAGGCCGATCATGAAAAGCAATTTTCTCAGACCAACAAAGTCAGCTTTCTTATCTGAATTTGAATGGCATCTCTTTGGTTCAGGCTTTCCACAGGAAGAGATTTACCATCTACTTCTCCTCCTCTATCTCCAAACGTGGGTTTAATCTTTGCTTAGGCATGTTTGGGATGGGTGAGAAAGGAGAACTCACACCGAAGAGGTTTTGTTTGGAGATGCCGAGTTTAGGCTGAGTTTCCCCACTGGCAAATGTAGGACTGTGGCTTATTATACTGCTTAATGAGGGCTGAAAGTGCAGCCTTTTTTTGGGTTCAGGGTTAAATGTGCTGGGGGAATGAATATTCATTGATATTGGAAAAGGGATCCTTCAAATATCAGATCAGGCACAGAATGACTAGTTCTGACTCTGATTGGAGAAATGAATTGATTGGAGGGTGATTATCCTTTTTGGATCTTCACTTCTCTGCATGTGTATGATGTTTATTTATTGGCTAGGTTTAAAACATGGCACTTTAGATTAAAAATATTGTACAACGCTCACTTCGTGATAATATGTATTTGCCTCTGTAAGGTGATAGCTGAGATCCTTGAAAGAAAGCTTTTATTTTTATGTTTTGCCTGATTTGCAGCTTAATGTGGGCCTAAGAAATAAATGAAATTTAGAAATGAACATTTGCAAAAGAGACATGACTAGGAAAGAGACCAATGAAAGATATATAGGAAAATGAAAAATAAATATCTGAATGCTGCTCAGGAACTTACTTTGTTTTATGTGTGTGTACATTTTAAGATTCTGAATGGGTGGAAGCCAACAGCAACAAACTTTATAGGAGTCTTAGACTAGAATCAAATAAATCAACACCTACCTATAACGATATCTTTCCATTTATTACATGTACATCAAGGTTAGTCAAATCAGTTCCACAACAGCTTATTTGTTAGGGCACATCCTTATGAATAATGAGCAAACTATTTTCACAGCTAAGAATTTTGCTCCCATGTATGAACTAAAGCAGGAACTGTCTTTATGCACTGAATTATATGTCACCAGAATTGCAATTCTAGTTAGGTCTGTTTGCATTTGGGAACTTTGCATGGACATGTGCACGTGATGATTGCAAGTGGAGTGGGTAGTTTCCATAAGCTGATTCTGTAAACCACTTAGAGAGGGCTGTAAAGCACTATGAAGCTGTATAAGTCTAAGTGCTATTGCTATTGTTATTAGCAGATCATAGCCCCTGTGATTAAAAAAAAGGGATAGGGACACACAGGTATTTCTATGTCTAATAGTAGGGTCGGGTTAGTAAGTGCCAGCAGAGATTGAAGTCTGAACTTGGGATATTGAGAAGCAAGAAGAAAGGATGAACTTGCCCAGAGGAGATGCATAAAATACATTGATATTCTCTCTCTCTCTCTCTCTCTCTCTCTCTCTCTCTCTCTCTCTCTCTCTCTCTCTCTCTCTCTCTCACACACACACACACACACACACACACACACACTCAAGATTCAGTATATTTATCACATAGACAAAAAGAGAAAGGGAAAAATCCAGACGGGGAGAAGAAATTGCTTGATATAATTGCACTGAAATTCCTGGTTTGTGGTCTACATGGGAATACCCCTAAGGACAGGGACCCCTTTGCTGTGCTAAAACTGTGGAGCTGAGAGTTTATTTAATGTTCCTTCCATCTCCTACTCCTCCTTTTCTTTTTCATCTTTGCTATACAGGGTTATCTGCATCCCCTGAGGCTGGAACAAAGCGCTCATTAATGGCAAGGGATTACAGCTTGCCCAACAGGGAAGCTGCTTGCTCCGGAGGAGGGTAGTTGTTAAGAGTTTCTGACTTTCCTGGACTTCCAAAGGAAAGTCTTAGCAATTTGGAACTCTCTGTTAACTTCTTCCCTGACGTTGCTAAATGGAAGGGAAATAAGTCCCCACCCCAATGTTCATGCGGCTCCCATCGAGTTTTGTATTTGCTTAGGCAATGCTTGAACTTGACCCTTTGCATCCCCTTCTCCAATGTCATCTTCTTATGGTTATTGCAATTCTTCTTCTTCCAGTCTAAAAAAGTGTATCTTAATTGGATTGGACCCCTGGGCACACAAAAATCTCTTTAAAGTTTCATTGATTAGGGAGTCCTGAACAAGCAGCCCACCCCATCCCAGTCTGCTCCAGATTGCATTAACCTCATGGTCACCTCTGGAATGTTCAAATTATGCTGGGCGACCAATGCTGTCAATCAAAAGGTATTGCTATTACATCTGACGCTACCCATCCCCACCCTTGACTGTGGCTTGGATAGGATGATGGTGAAGTTCTGGGGTGTGGTAGAGGGCAGAATGGCAGAAGCCACAATGAGTAATTACTTCTGGTGTGTGTGTGTATGTGTGTGTGTGTGTGTATCTATGTGTGTTACAGCTGCAGAGGGAAAGTTTGGAGAGAATGATTAATGCATAAACTGAAGAGATTTCCCAGGATGAAGGCATACACATATGTCAATCCCACTGTTCTTTTTCAGGATAATTAACATTATACAGAATGGAATAAATAATACTAAGTCAATGGATGCATCATTTATTTGCCCCCACACCGCAATATTTCTTAATCATCCTAAGAAGAATATGTGTCTTTGGGCATTCTGTAACTCGTGGTACAATTAAGTAAATTTAGAAAGGGGGAAGAGGATGGCAACAGTTTCAGACCTGGAAATAGAAGTGGGAAAGACCAGGATAAACCCACAGTTGGATTTAATTCTCTCTCTATATATATATATTAAGCACCCTACAATTAAAAGTAGTTAATATAAACTATGTATATTTAGTAATTTTCCCATTTTATTGCACTAATGGCAACCCACAACTTCTGCCTCCCTGATTCAGACTGTAGACTAAACAGCCTTACGTGACCTCTTTAGATAGTCACGTGTCTGATTTCCCAAAGCAATTAAGAAGGAAGTGATGAGAGAGGAGAAGGTTAGGAAAAGGGGGTGCCGGCCAAGTTGTAATGGGCAGATGGATATATGGCAGGAAGTGAAACTCAGGCCTTCTTCAGGGTTCATGGACATCAAGCTGGTCCCTGCTTCTAGCCCTCTGTCTCCCCCCCC